GCGCTGGAGGCTCTGACATGTCCACGATCATTCGTGATATTTTCCCGTGGCATGCAGGGTGTGAAACGTTATCGACATCGTTGCTTGGCAATGAGATAAGCTGCTGGGGTATGTAGTAGCAGAGAACTCAGATTTAAGGTGACCTATGATCTGGCTGCTCTGGGTTGACACCACATGGTAGTGGAGAGGTAGGTGGCTGTCCTACTCCACATACCTACCTGGGCGCACATCATTTCCGGAGAACTGGGACTACAGCTCATGGCTGAGTGCTCATACGATGATATCCTTAGTGGGCCAGTGTTAAGTTCTGTAGCTAGTTAGTTGGGTGCATACCATCAGAACCAGCATCTGGAAGAAAAAGTAACGAAATCAGATATATCTGCATTTTTTCCCCCTCTTCCTTGCCTGTCGGTATGTAGCGCCTGCTGGAGTAATGGACATGTAATGAGTGTATCAGAGTTTTTCCACGGAAGGCATACGTGGTTGACAGACACTGCACTGTGCTGCTGTTACTGTTGCTCCTCAAGATGTTGCCTGATTTGAATTTTTTTACATTTGATACTCACATACAAGACTGCCAAGGTTTCTGGCTTTGCGTCCTCCTCTCCCAGTTCCCCTCTCCTGATGTGATCGGAGACAGGGGGAATCGGACAGACGTCAGATTCAATACTTACTGTCGGGCCGGGTCTCACATACTTTGAGTATCTAAACCTCAACCCCCACCTGTCTTGATCACCCTGCCAGACCAGCCGATTGGGTGTGTTCCGGTCTCTCGTGGCAAGAATCATATTTTATTTTTCCACTTTTTCTATCTGATGGGTTCTGGGTACTGGGTGCTGGCCAAGTTGCACACTCTGTGCTGTGAAGACATGACGCTTATACCTGTATCGTAGATCTCAAAGGGTGGTTATATCACCAGGCGTCAGTCTATCTGTACTCTACTGTCTGTCGATATGATAATGAAACCCATTTGCGGCAACTAACTAACGTAGGGGGTTTATGCACACTATATGATACAGATATCTGTTTCGGAGGTTGTGCTCTCTTGAATGCTAGTAATTCTGCATTTGCTGGATCGCATACAAGAGCTCGTTGGAGCACGGGGTCTGTCTGTCTGTCTGTCTGTCTGTCTGGCTGTCTGTCTGTCTGTCTGTCAGTCTGTATGTCTGTTTTGTCGTGAGACCTAGGTGTTTCTTGTGACCTTGAGATTTCTTTGATGTCCCGAAGTTACCCTCGGGCTTGCGGGTCGGTAGGACCCATCATCTGGTTACTCTAGATCTCTGGGTTGTTGCTGCCGATGATCAATCCCGAACCCGTACGTGCGTCCTTGTCCCCTCAGACCATTTTTTTCCCTCTTCCCTTCCACTTTGCAATTTGGAAGATTCCGTTTCGTTCTTCTGTGCTCTCCTTGGATGCAAGACGTTTCCGTCTCTATTTTCCGAAAAGAAAACTTTCCTATCAACGGAATTCGCTAGCTTCCTCCGAGAAGTGCACTAGACCGCTCTCTAGCTCACTTGGAGCGGTGGACCGTGACGAAAGTGAATCTTTTAGACTCTAGGAGATTTAAACAACGGCTAGCAGCCAATCGGAAGCCACGGGGAGCAGTGTATGTAGGAAATAGTGTAGGAAGCGGCCTTCCATCTCCGGCCTTAGACCTGTCCTACGTGCATTCTAGCCCTTAGGAGCAGGACTACATGTACCCTCTGCCAACCCCAGCTTTACTCTAGAGCATGCAGGCTGTCGAGTAGAGGCCCAAACAAGTCTCGGGTAGGAAGGACGCTTTCTCTCGTCCCTTGCAAAAACACGTTTCTGCTCTAAGACAAGGGCCCGTTGTTTCTGATGCCCGGAAGGGGAAGTGCGCTTGCTATCCATTTGATAGTCGTAGCCGGTCCGCAGCTCAGGGTCCTTATCTTGATTTCGTTTGGACTAGCGCCAAGATCTTCGCTTATGAGGCTCTCAAAAAGCTTGTTTCTCCACAATCCACAGCAGCACCGCAGACTGTATCACGTGGGGGCTGCTTGGTGGGAGCGAGTCCAACAGAGAGAGTGCACCCCCAAGTTCCAACCACACAGGTCCTAGATGGGGGAAGGATTCACAATAGGTCCTAACGATTCCTCAATAATAAAAGCCATAGACAGCTGCATACACAATGATAATGATAATTCGAGTCCAGCGCGTTTAGGTCCTATCTCCTCGGCTCTGTTCTTTGCTGTGTTCCCTGGGCCGGATCCCACATCCACGCATACATGTAGGCATTTCCCCCCAAGCTCTCCAACTGCCGCGACAGTCGATCTCTGAGCGCTCGGGTTGAAGACTCCCTTTTCGCCTTTTCGTGGTGTCGTGAAGTGAGTTGTCTTTTACGCACTTGACAACCCCATAACCCAGTACATAACGCCTCAATGCCGCAGATCTAGATAACAAGGCCTTCTTTCGGCAATCAGCAAAGGGGAAGTACGTCCACAGCGGTTTCAAATTTTTTTTCTCCACATTTCATTTTACACGCCAGATTTGTAACAGCAGCCACTGTGCAGTTTAAAACTCTTTGTGTATGTATGCTGAGTTCTCATATGTAGAGACTCTACGAGTAGAGGATGAGCGCTCATGGAAATATTTTAGGGGGGGGAGGACAAGGCTCGGCGAATTCCATGAGGGAATGTCTTGGGTCCTCTTGGTATTTCTTGGTATTTCTTGGTACTGGGACCCTCCACGCGTCCCTTGGGGGTGAGAAGGGTGGGATGGTGGAGAAATCATATCAATCACCTCGGAAAGTAATGGAAAACATCTCCCGTGTTCCCCGAAAGTTTTGTCTAGTAATAAACATCAGTATCCGTGCCTTCCTTGCCTCTCTCTACTCGGCGTCCGCACAGCCCTCCCCGAAAATATAACGGATATCTCAAAGCACCAGCACCGTACGATCCGGGCGGCCGCGTAGACTGGCTGGGGGGGGGGATGAAAGAGCTGCTGAATCGACTTCTATGTACGGATTGACAGATGGGTGCTGGGCTGACCAGAATCCGATTGGGGGGCTCGTCTGTGGGACGGGATATTTCGTGAACCGATATGGGGGTATCGGAGCCCGACCAAGAAGAGCTGATAGCCGATAATGCTTCTTCTTCTTCTCCTTATTCCTTTTTTTAATTCCCTTGATGCACTACACACCTATCCGAACGTCGTGATCAAGCGTTTTGGCATCCCACCTGACCCAATGGATTGTCGTTCCCCATTGTCGTTCCTTCCTTTCACCCCCATCCATCCCCATCACTGCATGATGATGATCCTACCTATCCTACCTATCCCCCACCCCACAGCTAAAGCCGAATGGAATCCCCACGGAGACTCGTGAGATTATTCGGCGCTAGGCTGGCCAAGATATATTCACGGTACATCTCAATCCTCTTCTTCCCACGGCAAGTTACTCTACCCATCAGGAGAAGTTACGCGTACAACTAGTGCATGCGCACTGCTCTACCAGGCGGTACCCTACATGTCAAGTACCGTAAGCGTGTAGTAATTGTAGTAATTGTAGTACTCGCAACAGGCCTGAAGTACCCGAAAATGTAGCTGCAAGGTTTTGGTGTATTTTTGACTTCTACTCCAATGGTAATTGCAGATTAGGGCTTGCATTTTCGGGTACTTGTTACCTGCTGCGAGTACCAGCCCGCTGCTTACAGCTTTCCTGGGCATCGCCGAGAACTCGTAGACTACCAGCGTGACCCCACCATTATGTCATCCACGATGCTCTCTCTCTCATTGCACCGCCTCCCCAATCAATTCAAAGTCTTGGGCGTCCTCGGAACCTAGCACTGAGGTTCTGAGCCAGAGGTACAAAACCATTACTTGACACTCGGGGAATAATAGAAAGGCACATTGCAGGAAAGCAAGCCTCCTCCACCCCCCCCCCCCCCCCCCCCATTTCCTCTTTGCTACTCACCGCCCTTTTCCCGTAATCACAAACGATATCTCGTCGTCGTCGTCGAAAGCTGTAACCTCCGTCATACACCCTACATACTCATACATACAGAGACCCTTTATTGCGTGTTTCGCGGCCCCACCTCCGTCTCTACTTACACCACGCGTCTAAATCGTTCCCGTCTCCGCCTTTGCTTTCGGCCCCAATCCCCGTCTCCGCCTTCTTCATCTGCTGCTGCTGCTTCTTGGACACTTCCAAACCCCACCTAATCACTACGTATTGAGGCATTATCCCCCGTCCACCTACATCAACCATCCAGCTTCCTTCACTCCATTCAGCCATCAGGTACATCAACCCTTATATCCTTCTGGGCGGTCAAAACATCACTCCCCCCCTCCACTCCCCCCGTTTGAAAATCCGAAGAAGGAAAGCGCCCCTGGCTCTTCGTTTTTTGGCTGGTTGTTCTTGATAGCCGTTGAGACTAAGCTTCTCGGCTATCTTTCTCAGATCGTGCACCCCTTCTTGGAAAGTCATCAGTCATCCAGCAGCTCTCTATTCAGGGAAAAGTAAAAAAGAATCAATTCTATAATTTCTATTAAACAAACGGGGGAGAAAGAGAAAGCAAAAAAGGAAAAGCAACAAGTGACAAGAATAATCATTAGCTGCAACGAGATTTCATTACCAACCCAGGTTTCCTTTTTCTCTTTTGGATGACTTCCCCTCCTAAGCAAGCAGCAGCAGGAGAACTTGTCGAGAAGGACGGAGCTCGCCCAGCTTCCATATCCTGGGCAAACGTCCCTGAAATACCTTCCTCTGAGGGTCGTCGACGTCGTCAATCGTCCTTAGCCTCAAGTACAGGCAGCGGAAGCGTGGGAAGTGTGGGAAGCTTGGGTGGTGTATTACCGAGCGCATCCGGGAGTTCTAGGGCTACTCGCCAGAGATCGCTATCGTCTCCGCCTCCGCCTCCGTTCGTCTAACCCTCCCCCTCACTGGTCATTTTTTTTTACCTCACCTTACCCCCCGCATTCTCCACCCCCACTTAGCATTCCCTTCATTTCCCCTCAGTCATATACCCAATAATCGCGAAGCTATGTCTGCGAGTGACGTCGGACTAACACATATCAACCTGCTCGTGGACAATAGTACCTTTTTGAAACGAGTCTCTTTCGACACCTTCGATAACAAGGATGCCTCTGATTTTTCGCTCACGCTGAAATCAAAGCACAAGGACTATGCCTACACCCGACGATCGCGCACCTTTCTCTGCGGTACAGATCAGAATGATTATTCGGAATTCGCGCTCGAGTGGCTCATCGACGAGCTCGTCGATGATGGCGACGAAATCGTCTGCCTGCGTGTTGTCGATAAGGACAGTAAAATGAGCAGTGATTCTGCACTGCAGGAAAAGCAGTACCGACAAGAAGCCAAGAAGTTGTTGAACCAAATCATAGAGAAGAATGATGAGGACAAGACAATTTCCATCATCTTAGAGTTCGCCGTCGGGAAAGTACACGAGACGATCCAGAAAATGGTACGACCCCCTCTTGCCCCACCACGCAACGTTGCGTTGCGTGACTTGAAATGCTAAAATACTAAACACCCTTTTTTTACTTTCTTTCTTGTAGATTCATATTTATGAGCCTGTGATTTTGATTGTGGGCACTCGTGGTCGTTCACTGGGTGGCCTGCAAGGCCTCCTCCCAGGTTCCGTCTCAAAATACTGTCTCCAGCATTCACCGGTTCCGGTCATCGTCGTGCGACCATCATCAAAACGGGAGAAGAAGAAGGAAAAACGAAAGGCCGATCCCGGTAGAAAGGTCTACCAAGAGATATTGCAAAGCTCGGGTGAATTCATGACACACAACAACCACAGTCATGGTGGTGTCTCTGCGATTTCAGGAATCACAGAGGGCATGTCGAACACGTCGATTAGCTCACTTGGGGAAATCAGCCCGGGGACTCAAATTGACCCAGAAGTGTCCCCCAAAACCTCGACATTTGCTACCTCAGACTCGCCTTCTCCGCAATCGCTCACGCCGAATCTTGAGGCGACACCTATTAGCACACCGACGGAGGAGAAGCAGGAGGGAAGCAAGTGATTGGCGTTAAGATATCATACGATAAGGGTTTTTAGGGTGGCATTCATGGAGTTTTTTTTTTAGTTTTTTTGTTTTTGTTTTACTATTCTTTTTCTTTCCCTCTAAATCAGGAGGACACGGGATAAGTGATATTACATGACTAAAGACTTCCTCTTTCTCGACCACTGTACTGTTTTGTTTTAGTTGCTTTTTTATTATAGCTTTCACACTTTCAATTGTAATTATGAGGACACTGGTTGTTGCATTATGCATTGATTCCCCCAAGAATTTGCTGTAAAATATCATAAATGGAGTTTTGGCAGTTTCATTAGAGCTAGGCGTTGCTTTCTATGATCTGGTTTTTGAATCCTGTACTAACTAGTCGGATCTAATCGGACCGGGATGTCTCAAAACCAGAATATCTGGAGCATAGATAGGTGCAGAGTGAACTGTAATTTGGAGACGAAAGTGCATATGCAACTTTGGCCCGGCGTAAGGACGGAAGCCTTACTCTGTTTTCACCCGCACAGCAACCATTGGCCGTGTCATGTGACCTTGAAGCCTATCATCCTTTTACTTTCTTCATCCCCTCAGCCAAAGCCTGGGTCACACCCCAGTTTAAATCGAAAACCGTCGGAAACTAACCCCGGATATCCCGCAGTGTTAGCCCGGAAACCCCACAATTCAGCCGCTTTTCCCCGTCCAGGGAAAATGCTTATCCCCTCCATACCTTCTCCCTCTCCCATATCCGGCTGTTTTCCCCCAAGAGGCTCAATGATGATGGGACAACGAAACGAAACCGCAAGACCAGACGATAACGGATAGCGGACGGACGGACGATAAATGCAAACAAGCTCAATGCGATGCACTTGACGGTATGATAAGCGAACGAGACCGGAGAGATACGTTGTCTAAATCAGTACGAGGCCCTACTCGTGTGGATCATGCAGGTTATGTTGGGGTACAGAATGAGTATTGATCTGGGTCCCGTGCAAGTTGTGCGGCGGGCCTACCTGGCTAGAGCTATTGGAAAAACGTTTTTGTGAATTGAGGCGTGATTAGGTATGTCACACATTGAGTGTTGTTGTGAATTGGACCCTGAAGCAGGATCTGCGAATGATATTCGAATTAATGCAATATGGGACATATGCGCATAATTGCAATCTGGGGACCTTGTATATTGCATCGAGGCCCGCGGTTACACACTATAATTCCTGCCATGAAGAAGGGAGACTTAATATCAATAGGTCTTTTAAATTATGAAGATCCTCTCCGGGGTGCTTGGTCCGTGCCATTATTTGGATGTTGTATCGATCATAGAACATCACTCGGTATAACCAAGGTCTGGAACTGGCCGGCGGTAATATGAAACTGTGCCACACCGACGGTCCATCAGGTCTTTGTTATTATTTTGGCGCCGAGTATATGTGCCACACTTCCATTTACACATTCAAGCCATAAAAAATTGGCACAAACGAAAGACGCAATGGCGCTTCCTCGTGTGCCACACCGTTTATATAGCCTAAGGATATATGTGGCTCACGTTAGACGCCGGATTAGATCATGCGAAGCTTCAAAGGGGTACTTGAGGGCGGCACCTCATGTCCCACAAAGCTTCTACACCAAATATTGTAGATCTTGGTAAACGCCGGATTTAGATCATGCAAATAACTACATCCTACAATACGGCAAAGACAAGTTTCTCGTCTAAGTAGTGGCACCAACAAGGTGGGTCCTGATGAATGACCTTTGACTTCCTTCTAAAGGGCACGGCGCTTCATAGCAGGGCAGTTGACTTGTTTTCGTAAATAGCTTGACCTCGATCTGATTAATGGACCTTAACGTCCCTTGCGTCGTTGACCTATTGAGTTGAAAGGAAGAAACAGAACCAATGTATGAAAATTTTCGTTAACTCGGAGATTATTTGTCCACATCTCTGCACAGGTAATGTTAGCGTTGATTCTGGAAGCGTGTTTTTGACCAGGTTCTATTCAACGTGGGCTGCTTAGCTTTAGAAACAATATATCCCACAATGCACTCATAGATACATGCAGTATTTGGAATCGGAGGCAGATGGGCCGACGCACTCCGGTGATGTATATTGATTAGAGCGGTGAACCCTTGGTATTGGGAATGCCCGTCCCTCTTTCTAGTCAGGCGATCGTTCGGTACTTGAACAATTGTACCTTTAATAGTTAAATTTCCCGATGGAGGATTCCTTGTATTATAAATGTTTATGGGCAGGTAACACTGCGTGTAATAAGTGGATCTCGCTGGAACAATGTTCATGCTAATTGTGTATGGAGGGTGTGGCAGAGTGGAAAGAATGGGCAGGTTAGAGAGGGGCATTGGACGGGAGGCCACGTTTTAAAAACAGTTGGAAAATAGAAACTAGGCTGAATTTTGGACAATTGAGTTACTCTGGGAATGAGTGCTAGCTAGTATATTAGGGCCTAGAAAGTGCGGAATAATTGCATTTGTAAACCGGGCGAGAGCGAGCATAGACTCCCTGAGTGCAGATGTGAAAACCAGCACAAGCTGATAATATTAGTAGCCTATGATAGCTTCACCAGGGGGCCCTTATTCCCTAGAATATATATAGTTTTTATCTATGCAAACGTTCAGGCACAAGTGTTCAGGGTGCGGGAACGAGTTAGGAAAGAAACGCCCCCACGCAGTAGACATAGAGATATATCAAGCTCGCCGGGCATAATATACGGTCATCATCGCTCCACTACATGTAGTTCATGTTACTATATAGGGATATGACTCCTCTCGTTCCAGGTTTTACCTTAAGGTTATTGGACAGTGCTGGGGCGCATGCTATTGAGAACCTAACACTTAGTCCGGAATTTAATTGAAATATATTTTTTAGGTATAGAACTTCGAACTTTAGGCTAAGCGTGAGCTTTATATATTTAGGATTAGGGTTAGTAATGCAGACGGTTGCTTTATTCATGAGTTATCACTCGGCAAGCGTAATCTAAAAATTTAAGAACGAAGAAGCCACTGTCAAGCTAGACTCAGATTATATAGAGTCTCCTCTTTATATAATTTGCGTGCAACAGCTCCGAATTACATATAGTATTGACGAAATCGGTGTATCACCGAGTGATATCGTATGAACCTATCATTCTGACCATGTTATTTTGCACAAGCCAGCGAAAACAATCAGGCTAGCCTCGCTTTAAAATTATTGAACATGAAGGGCGCTTCTGCATGTGTATATATTTGGCGCAATTTGAATTTATCGCCGTATACGCCACTAAAAACACCATGTGACAGACTACCCAGAAGGAACCAAAGCCGGGAAAACAAATATCCAACGAAAAATAAATAAAAGAAACCAAAAATCTACTCCGCATGAGGCCGCATTGAAACAAGTTATTACTAGAACTTAAAATAGTCAATATAGAAAAAGAGAATAAATGCTAGGCTTTGAAAAAGCAATAAACCAAAGAAGTTTGGGCGTGGCTTTAATAGATACCAGTCTACATGCAAACCTCATGATATGGGGCCCAAATTTTCTCCTTCTTCTTCCCTTTCTTCTTCCCACCTGCACCTGCGCTTACCCCACCAATAGGTTCATCTATCTCAACAAGTATGGTATCTCTATTCCGGACAACAGGTAGTTCTACCTTGCTACCCGCTGTCATTTTCCCGCACTTTTTGCAGGGGGCGGAATATATAGTTATGTAGGTCGTGAGCATTTCCTATAGTATGATTAGATAATGCACTCAGTTCATAGGACATGGGGCAAGACATACCAGAAGGAGCTGGAGATTCCCAGCATTTGGCCTCGTAGTGATGCTACGGAGAATGGAGGTGTATAAATGGGGCGTTGCTTGCTCGGGCTTTTTCGCATTGGTCACAGAAGACACGATAAATCGTCTTGCGGCCGAAGATGGGTCCGTAATATCATGTGTCGGCGAAGATGACGGGATGTCGATAGTGAATAGTAGGTCTGCCGGCGATGGTAGTGTAATCTATAAAGTGCTCGGGGCTTAGAAATCAAATAAGTATGCATAATTTGAGGTTAAATTACCTTGACCGTCCTTCCTGAGTCCTTCACCTCGATATCAATCTTCAGCCCGGCGTCGTTTCCCTTAAATGCCTCGAGTAACCCGTCGACGTCCTCCTCTTTTGTATCTTCCACGACCTCTTCTTCCTCAACCTCTTCTTCGTCGCCTTCCTTCATCTCCGTGTCCTCGTCTTTCTTTTTCGCCTCTTCGATGGCTTCTTCTTCTTCTCCATCGTCTGGATAGAACATGTCGTAGACCGACACAGCTTGAATCCCCTGAGGGTTTTTTACTCGCGACTGGTTGGCATGTTCGAAGACGCCTGCTGAATCGACGAATAGTTTATTGAATGCGAGAACTTCTTCGGACGCGCCTCGGGCGCGGGTCGAAAGATCTTCATATAGTTCTGCGGCTGTGAGCACCGAGGTCAGTGACTGTTACTTTGTCGCAAGGTAATATGCACTATTGATCTGATCATATTTCTAGGATTAAAGATTGTGGGGTAGTTAATCGAGTCGGAGACGGGAAGAGGGGGGTCGGCTCACGGGAAGGATGGCTCGTCGACAACGGCAACGTCAACCGCGGGATCACGGTGCGAAGGCTAATCAACTACATGCCCATGAAGTGTTAGCTCCGCAGGGTACGAAATTTTTTTTGTTCCTATTTTTTTACGGAGAACGCGGGAGAGGGGACGAGATTGGATACGAACCTTGGAATGGAGATCATCAAGACGCTTCAGCGCGTCTACTAATTTCTCGTCTGTCCATTCCCCAGATTCTTGACTCTGTTGGTTTTGGTTCGGATGCTGGTTTTTCTGGGGGTTCTTCTTCTGTTGGAGCTGCTGTTGTTGCTGCTGAGCTTGTTGTTGCTGGACTAGGGTAGGAACTGCGATGTTTACAGGTGGCTTCGACATTATATTACTGTTGTTTTGTGTTGGGGGCGACGCGGATATGAATGCAGATCAGGTAGAAATTCCTTGAACTGGTGGCAGAGCTCTGAGTT